CATGTCTATTTCCTTTTCTAATTACCCGAACCCCAGACGTGGTAAGCATGCCATTTGCAGTACATCTCCTCCGCCTATGGCATAAAAGCCATTAAGCTGCGAGGGTTGAAGGCGGCGGCCTCACTATTGTAATGAATTGCCAATTTAGGTGGTTAATGAAGGAATCATGGACCACTTAGCGCGCCCTCTTCCGCTAAAGGTTAGCTCGCTCTCAAAGAAAGCGTGACGTTAAGGCTTGAGTCCCGCCTTAGGTCTATTATAACGTCGGAGCACCAAACTGGTCCTTAAACCGCAGTTGTCATAACTGAACAAGTTGAAGGGTGATATGAGAATCGTGCCGTCACCACCGATTGATACGGAAAGCCTCACTGCTTTCCAAATCTTGCTAGCGGCCGATTCACTTCTCCCTATAACGCGACCCAATCCTTATGTACCGCAGCCGCACTGTTCCCCTCTTTGCCCCAAATTTTTCCCTTTTTGAGGTATACTATGGTCCCTAAGCACCGCTCACATTCACCTTCGACACGGCCATGTCGTAAACAGCGAACGCTATCGTTTTTCTCTCCAGTAGCACAAAAGGGTGTAATGACAATCAAAACAGTCAAACAACAACACAAGCATTGTTCTTTTACGTTTGCGTTTATTCGGTTCCTCTTCCTTTGTTCCTGCTTTATTGTATTATTTTGCTCTACTTCAGTACCGCCAGTAATCGCCCTTGACAGCTACTTTCCTCCTCTTTCAGTTAGAACTGTGTAAAAGATGCCGATGGTGAGAGTGTCGACCAATTGTGCCTGACAAGGATGTTCCTCCTAATTTCGAGGTTTTTTTGTTCTTGAAAATTGCTTCAAAACGTTCAACCATATACTCTTAGAGAGAAGACTTCTATGTTTCTTCACAGGAACGCCTCACAGATATATTGGCGGAGTCAATGAATAAGCCACGAACAAGGATCGCAGTAGAAATGTATGCAGGTCAACGTATTATGCATGGAGGTGTACGGAACCCTGTCGTCCTAATCAAGGTGAGTAGTGGCGTTTCGAGAGAGGTTTTCAATACCTCCAATTACTCGACTGGCTTTTCGATACCAGTTCTCATTGATCAAGATTGATTAAGGCGACCTTGTCGATGCAACTTATTGCGCCAGTTCCTAAAATGTCTGAGTGGTGCGAGAAATTAAAATGGGTCCTCAGTAGTGGTATTTCCGGCTCTCGCACATAGCTTGTGACGAGCCGTTAGATTTAGTTCAGATCTTCTTTTCTAGAGTTCTTGCGAGGTTCATAAAACACTTCATGGGTTTACGTACGTTCTGGAACCACCCTCATCAGGCCTGCAAGGATCGAAGCGTTTTCTGACTATTCGAGTGAACAAATTACCTTCCGTATTGAAGTTCGACAATGAAACAAGTCATCACCCAGTCACGAGGAAGACCACTCACCGTAACCCAGTCCAATCTTCGAGACCGCTAGGGAGCTGGCTGTTGATTCAAGTCGGACTTTTCTTCATTGAGGGTAGCTCGTGTAAGGCCACACGAGCTACCCTCAATGAAGAAAAGGTAGGGTTCAGTTGCCGCGCAATTGTGAAGCAATGTTTACTTCGATCCATTTTTGGATCGATGACCTGGATCCGGTATGCCTCGAGGATTTTAATGCGGAGGTTTGCACCTGCACCTCTTGCGCCAAGACCTCAACCGCGGCCCTAAAATCTTCTGCGTTGTGGATTTGAACCCTATGAGCCCCCAAGGCAGTTGAAAGGCTTGCCCGCCGTTTTGATGCTCTTCCTTCTTTCGAAGGCATTTTGTCGGGTATCTGATAAGGAGACCTGGAAGTGTCTTAAAAATCATACCTAGGGGGAATACTTTTTTTCTAGTAACATTTTCCTTTTTTCCTTACTATGGTATTTTTATTACGCAAATCGACTTCATTTCCGAGCACCAGCCTCTGCGACACCTCATGCTTCTCTTCTACCACTCAGGCTCGATGTGGAAGTTGGAGAGATAAATAATGGGATAATACGCACACGATGCTCTCAAGTACCCAACTCCTTTCTTCGTAGTAGCGGCGACAGTGAGCTGAAGGTGAAAATACTGCATTGCGGCTGTCTGTGAAATCGGGTTTCTCCTGACCCATAAAGAGGTTCTTGCTAGCATGCATTCTGCAATCAAAATAGAACTGTAGAAGCCTGAAATGGTGGAGAGGCTAGGTGATCGTGAACTTTCCGCAGTCTTCCCTCTGCTTGAAGAATATAGATGATGGACGACTCTTCCTCGTTCCCCGTATAGACTTGTTAATGCGTCGTCTCTCTACTGGTTATTCTCCTCTTGAGTCCGTCACATGCCGAGAAATTCACCCAAGCGACCCCAAAGTTGCGCTCGCGTAGTTCTTTGCCTCGCACCTTTCATTCTGTAGAGACGGTCTCCATATACTGTCTCAACGCAGAAATGAAGGCATAAACAACAACTGTAGATGCTTGTGTTTGCATTGAGATTTTTAATAAGCAAGTCAACAAATTCCGGCCATTTTATCTATTCATCTGTCTAGTGAGTCACTCTCGAGAAGGACCTATAATTCTTGCTCACTTGTGATATGAGATGGAGGTGGTGTAGTGACAAAAGGCGCGCTTACCTTCCGCGCGGTCCTGGCTTCGAATCCCGGGTCGACACCCGCCCAGGCCAACCGAGCCTTCTACCTTCGGGGACGGTAAATTGGTACCAGATTCGTCTGGGAGGATAAGAACACTGACTTGTACATCGGCTGGCCCCGCAAGTCATTGTATAGGCCACATCGCATTCAATAAGCCACTACGATTCTGAATGGAAGTAGAATGCGTGCCGCATCCCACAAAGGGATTGATGATCGAAACTTCATCCTTTTATCCTTATTTGTGATGTGAGTAAATATGCTGAATATAGTATTTGATGTGCTTTTTATGCGTTTATTTTATCAGTGATTAAGTCAAATGTCTTCTAGTGTTGTACTATCTGTGAAAACTGCTTCATCGTTCTGTTATAGATAGAATCGATAGGCGCGCTGGAACCCGAAAAGAATATTCGCCACACCGAAAAAGTCACGCAGTTATGTCAGGAGCTTCTACACGTACCAAAAGATAAGGTAATTTTTCTACAAACTTAATCCCCACTTATCTCACACCTCCATTCAATCTCCATTTTCTGACTGTAGTTTGAATCATCAGTACAGTTTTCATCGGACTGGAGAAGGTTTTCTGGTGCGATGAATGTCTGAGCGGTCCAAATTGGTATCTCGAAATCGTCCAAGTTATACATTTTCACTTTAAATCGGACACTTTTCAAACCAAATCGGACACTTTTCAAACCAAATCGGACACTTTTCAAACCAAATCGGACACTTTTCAAATCAAATCGGACACTTTTCAAATCAAATCGGACACACCCCTTACAATGGGCAGTTGAGAACTAGACCACACTAGGTACTGCTGCAAGTCCCAACATCCCCGCCCACTTCTTAGCGCGGTCATGGTTTAAAATGTTCTATGAATTGTGCTTCTTCGAATTTTTTTTCACTTTTGCTATATGACACACTTCAACTAAATAGGGTACCGACACATATGACTCCGCCCACTTCACAATGAAGTTACGCCACTTCGGAATTTTTATAACTTTTTTCGACGTTGTTTTCTTTTCACATTCAATTTTCACAAAACGAATAGCCATGCATTTACA